GGGAGACCCAAGTCTACTTAGGGAGTCTAGTTCTATCAGTGCTATGATGGCTCTGAGCTTCCGTATGTCCTCACTGGTGTCATTACGTGCTCTGTCGACACTAGCATTGTCGACGTCCATCTTCTCGTCTAAACTGTATTAAGACTGCCATAGTAATTTAAACGTGTTATTATGTACTCTATTTTATACGATAATCTCCAGTTTTGAACGTAATTGTATTTTCCTAATTAGTGTTTAGTGTTCTATTTATTCGTGTATCTTTTTACACTGATCTGAAATCGGGAATCAGATCGGGATTGAGAATATATTGGGTGGTGTTCCAGTTGACTTATCTTCCCTCACTCGCGTTCTTGCCAGCCAATCAATTGATAGAATAGTTTTCTTCTCTCTACCTCACTTCGAATTCACATATACTAGCCTCAACGCTAAGCTGGTCAGCCTACCGCGTCAAGGTCCTAATCTAGATTAGACAAGTTATCCTCAGCACCAAAAGTGGGTAGAGAGATCAAGGACGTAACAGATTTATAGACGCTAGAAAAAGTCTACAACCGTAAAAAAGAAAAAAGTACACTAAAAATGGATAAAATGGATAAAAATGGGTTGTAAAAAAGGTTGAGATAAACTGAAACTAGCCATGAAGCGAAAAATTGAAGAATCTAACAGTAAGCTGAGGCAAAACCACATTTAAATATTTGTTGAATGAAACTATAAAAGGATTCTAACAGATTCTTTGGATCAGAAATGGTACTTTTGTTGCGTAGATACACAGCAAAAGTTTAAGAAATGTAAATCACCTTAGGAATAATCTTCCCGTTCGTAAAGCGCGCGTATGTTGTCAACACCATCAGAGAACGACTTCAATGAGAAGCTAGAACTACTTACAAAATAGACTATAATGCTTAATTGTTTGTGTATAAAAAGTTCCACCAATCTGTTATCTGTATTACTGAAGACGGGCGGCTGTTTTTCGGGGAGGCAATTTTGCACTCTACGGTGCGTTAAATCAGGCCCTAACAAGGGGCGGTCGTTAATTTAATACTGTAACCAATATAGAACGTAAGTAGAACGAACGTTGTATCATTTCCATCTAAATATTTTTATGAATTCATCTACAAACCTATTTTGTCCTGTAGTACTGCTGGGATACCCATGATTTGCATGCAAATAATAAGGCAAAAATAAACATGAACAAGGGGTGAATAAAGCGGTGATATTCCGGGAAGTCTTATTTTCCTCTCGTCACCAGAAAGATACGATAAATTTCCCATTTTTTTCTTACCCATCCCCACAAGCGAAACAAAAACGGAAGTGGCAATTATTCATCGTTGAGTAAATATTTTAGTATCGCTTGTATCCAAAGGTAAAAAGGACTTTTCGTATTTACTCAAATCAGATTTTTAAGTTACAGTAACATCGAAGTCTCAGCCTTTTGTGTTCAATGTCGATTTCATTTGTTTTTTCCTGTTCTTTAAGAGATTGGTTCATACGCCATTTGTTCCTTCAGGATGCTGGAGCCAGCCCATATGCACCATTGATTTGGGATCCGGTTAAAACGCCGGACATTCGCTTTTCGTTCTCTCATTTTCGTAAACAATACCCCTGCCACGAGACAGCATTGAGTAGGACTTCCCTGACAGGCTGTATACGCGTGGTCGTGTGAGAGCATTTCGAGAGGGAGGGCGGGCCCACCTCAATCTCGGCCATGCCAGGGCATTTGGGGGCCAGATGAAGGGATGGTTACAAGAAAAAAAGCATGAAGTGAATAAACAAATTATAGGGAGCTCCAAGATAGATAAGTCGACGGTTTCTGTCCCGGATTCACATATCAACACACTACAGACTGTGTATGAGCATAGCCTGAGTAGTGTAGATGATTTGATCGAGAGACATTCAGGTCAGTGATTGACTTTCAGTCACACCCAGAAAAAGAAAAGTAAGAAAACAGATTGAGACCTTCGCATTTAACGCGAAATCGTACTGCATGGATAAGGTTTCAGAAAGCAAAACTTCATAGCATGGTAAGACGAACCTCGCGGAGAGGTCAGTCATTTTTCATAAGTTAAGAGAGTTTCCGAAGAGGAACTAAAGGCTAGATCTGAACACGATGTCAGCCACATTAAGTCCTTAATAAGCAAGTTACTTCCAGAACCAGTAGCATGAGTTATCATTTATAAGCTTTATAAATTAGGATGAAAAGTTGGTTCTGAAAATACTCAGAAAAGCCACCTCTTAAAGGTTACTTTGCTTCCGCTGAGGGAAAAAAACAAAACTGGGAAATTCACACACACTGACTGTGTCCTGAATATACGTCGATGACGATCTCGTCCTGGACTTTCTTTGTGCATGTCGAGGTTAGACTCTATCGCCAAAACATTCGCTTATAAGTCCTTAAGTAGCGTCTTGTCCCGGAAATATTACCGACAGATATCCACATAATTTGCTGATTTAATGGATAATGTGCCGACGACAGAAGCGTGTAATAAGCTAAAGCAAGCAGTTATTTAACCTACCACCACGTTTGACGAGAAACGATTATCAAAACTGACAACAAAATGAAAGCTCGGTAGTAGATCACGACTACAGCTACTAAGACAAATGAAACATTTGATTGGACCATTTGATATAAATAATACTTTTTAAGAGAGATGTAAATGCAAAGGTTTGAGTGGTGACCCTAGTGCTGCGAAGCAAAGGTTGCCCACCGCAGCACGACAGATACTGTGAGCTTCCAGTCAACCCTTAGATCTCGATAATTGTTCTTGCACAATCGGCAAGATTTTAGATGTAACACTAGGTAGCATATCATGAGTTCAAGTGGCTTCTGTTATGTCAGGTTGCGCATCAGGACCAGCACCACTTTTCAATTGATCTTCCTAACAGATTAATAAATCAAGGAAGTTACTCAACAAAGAGCTCCACTATGTCATCGTGACAGGTGACATTTGTTTGATGTCGTTACAGTACACTATCAGACAGCTAATATTACAGTATAGCAATTGGGGCCGGTGCATATTTGTGCCAGGCTCTTTTTTTGATGATGACTGACTGATATCTGCCTCATCTGACATCACATATTGTCGTTTGGAAGAATCCAGTTGCTTCTGTCCTTGTATTCTACACTTAACAAGGTAGTGACCAGGCTGAACCCCCAAAAACTTATACAAGCATAGTGTAGCCTGACAGTAAAGAGAGAACAAACATCATAATTTCTTAATATATACGCACAATAAGAAGAGGACCACTTATCTTTTCTTACTGAGTATTCGTCTTCTCAAAAAATAATGTACAACTCTTTTACCGATAATCTGTAATACACCTTGTAAAAATTTAAATGCCATGGTTTTCGAATTCTTCTAGAATAAAGCTAGGGGTGGCCCGATAAAGACACGACATACGTTCGTAGAGTCATTTACAATTTGACAGCCATATTAATAGTTGTCGACTACCTGATTGGGTCCGCGTAATTATCGTGACCAATGGTTAAGGACTTTAAATAACAACTTAAAATCGCTTGGAATGGAGCAGGTGCATCTATTTTTGTCTTTACCTCAGATTCTAAGCTCTTGTTTACAAAAATGAGAGGACGAAAAGCGAATGTCCGGCGCTTTAACCGGACCCCAAACCAATGGTGCACATGGGCTGGCTCCAGTATCCTGAAGGAACAAATGGCGTATGAACCAATCGTTGGTCACCGGCTACCATGGGACTGCATCTCTTCACGATGCTCCACTGCCTTGTGGATCAGACGTTCAGGTCAAAGGCTCGGGGTGTGGCCCCCTAAGACAACCACCTGCTTCGGTTTGGGCACCCGGGCAGTATCACAGCCCTCACACAAATCAATTGAGATTTGTGTGGCGCATATGTATTTTGGTGCCTCCCTGTACCTATACTTATGTGTTAAAATAAAATAAATAATAAATTCTAAGCTCTTGAACTTCTCATAACGTTTTGTGTGTTTCTGTTTCACTAATTTAAATTTTCTCCATTCGTATCTTTGGTACCTAATCTTTTCTATTATTTCTGATACTCTTACTACCTCTACAATTCTGGAATTTGGCCTGATGATTTCATCGCTCTGTGCTAATGAAGTATGGCAACTTGAACCAATGTACATATGTACTAGATTCTATGTTGCGAATGATCAAAACTAACTACAGGGAATAAAACATAAAAGTTTTAAGTTGTTCAATGTTGCCTCTATCATTTCGATAGGCTAAAGATATATTGAGAGTAATTCCTTTACGTCTTATATCATTCTATTTTATTGGTATAAGGGGGCACCAGATATATATGCGCCACACTTACATGATTACATCTAACTGAAGTACACTCTCGAGAATTGAGCTTTAGGATTACCAAGTACATATCTAATATCAGTCAGTCAGTAACAACGTGGAACTTTGTACGTACGTACATCAGTTCGAGTTGCCATACCACATTAGCACAGAGATTCAGTTATCGATTCAGATCACGTAGTGGTAGAGGTAGTGATAGGGAACACTAGGGTTTGATGATGTTATTTAAGGAGTATAGTCCAGTGGAATAGATTTGGAAAGAAAAAAAGGACATGAAGAATTCAGAAGCTTAGAATTTGGGAGAACACAAAGAGTGGATGCACCGGCGCCATTGCAAACGATTTTGAGCCATGTCATCCAAGGTCTCTAGCAATTGATTGCTATCATCTCGCGGTCCCCAACCAAGTAGTCTACATCTACCAACATGGCTCAGTCCACTTGTCAGTGACTTCATGGATTTGTGCCATGTTTTGGTCTGGCCGCCCCTAGCTTTCTTCCAACCTACTCCTACACCAGAAAACATAGCACGTCGTGGCAGTCGGTGGTCGGGCATGCGCAACACATGTCCCAGCCATCTATCTAATATATCATCTCGTGAACTATTATTATTGTTTCAGTTATTGTATGCACCATTTTATCGAAAAGGAACTAATGTAAACTTGTTATACTCTTCTAAAGTTAGTTTTAGAGTACTTATCATATTAAATGATGGGTCGTTCTCACTCTCGCTACAGCTCTTCAAGTTCATCAAATGAAAAGCATAAAACATATCACACAAAACCCCACAGTCGTTCACATCGTAAGAAAGTCAAAAGAAAATCAGTCAATCGAAATGCATCGAATAGCCGTCAAAAAGATAAAATACTCAATCTTACTCAAAAAGTGTGCAATATGGTTGATGCTGATAAGAAGCGTAATCGTTCTGAAAAACATAAGAATAAATTGAAATCTTGTGGATGTCCATATAATTGTGAAGATGAGATCCTGACATTACGTAACAGTATTGAAAACCTTCGTTCTGGTTTAAGTCTTTGTCGCAAAGAAAGGCCAATTTTTCAGCTCGATCATTTTGTTGACGATCATTATCAGCTTCTTTCTGAAGCTTGGATTTCTATCGGTCCATCTAAGCTCAAAGATCTAGTGTCTGCTAATTTACTGTCAATATGTGCTCGACGAGAACGTAGGGATATGAAACATTCTTCCGGTAAAAACTCCAAGGTTTCATGTGTTGTCCAACCCTATGTATCTTTTGACGGAAGTGACTACCAACTAGGGATTTCGGAGTTGTGGCATAGATGTATTCAGGAGCTGAATGATTTGTCAATCGACCAAATAAAAGCCATTCTAAGTGGAACAATGAATGTTGATCCGGTTGAATTAGTTCGTCATCCCAGTAACAAAAGTGAGATTATCAGCTCCGAAAAAGATAACCGCTCTCATTCTCCCAAACCAAATCCAATATGTGAAAAGACTTCTGAAATGCAAGTTCACGATGCTGATTCAACTACTGCCTTGTGTTCAGTGAGTTTTCTAAAGTATTTTTTGTTGAAAATTTTTGTTGTTCAATAAGATGGTCTCTTACTTATTTATTTTTTATTTATTTTAACACATAAGTATAGGTACAGGGAGGCACCAAAATACATATGCGCCACACAAAGCTCAATTGATTTGTGTGAGGGCTGTGATACTGCTCGGGTGCCCAAACCGAAGCAGGTGGTTTTCTTAGGGGGCCACACCCCGAGCCTTTGACCTGAACGTCTGACCCACAAGGCAGTGGAGCATCGTGAGGAGATGCAGTCCCATGGTAGCCGGTGACCAACGATTGGTTCATACGCCATTTGTTCCCGTAGGATACTGGAGCCCATGTGCACCATTGATTTGGAATCCGGTTAAAGCGCCAGACATTCGCTTTTCGTCCTCTCATTTTTGTAAACAACACCCCCGCCACGAGAAGGCAGTGAGTATGGCTTCCCTGGCAGAGGCTATATACGCGTGACCATGTGAGAGCATTTCGAGAGGGAAAGCGGACTCTCCCCACTCTCGGCCGTACCAGGGCATTTGGGGGCGGTCTCTTACTTAACACCCCATGGTCAGTCCGGTGGCTGTATTAGTTACCTACTGAATCCTTTGGGATTCTACCCTCATTTTTTATTGATTCCATTTACATTTGATGTCAATTAGTTCACTTTTTAAAACTCATCAGGTCGACCAAATGATATTGTTAGACCTCAGTAAGATTAAAATCCAGCATATATATATCTTTAAAAATAATGGTCCAGCTTTAGCAGTTAGATTGATTGAAGTGTTAGCTGGAATCTTTAGACTTGTTGCAATCTCATCTGACTGTTCCTAATCACTGGTTGTTTCAGTCTATAAGGATCAAAATCCTCTTTCGAAAATCACATAACAATCATTTTGAATAATATGATAATGTGATATACGGATAACTATATAATTTGGTTAAGGGTGAAGATATGATCAGTATATTCATGACTAGAATAAAGATTAGCTTGCTCCACACCAGTTAGTCTTTAGTAGATTTTAAATACTCTGTCAATTGTCACAAAATGCAAGTAGTTTGGACGCAGTCTAAAATAGATTTATCCGCATGTAATCGTTGAATTGGCAATGTAAACTCTGTTTTTAAAGATGGGGATAACTGTAGCTCCCTTCCAGTATATGTGAACACAATTTACCAAAGCTTTCCAAACAACTCAATCAGTCGCTTGTCCAGTTTCCAAACATTCATAAAATGTCCCGAGAGTAAGTCATCTAGGACTGGCGATTTGCAGCTCTTCAGGAATTGCAGCCTCTTATGAACTCCCTGTTCATCAAGTAAATCAGTCGTCACCGAGCATAAACAGCAGTCTGGTTGGTGTTGCTGTGGTAGCAGACAAGACGTCAGTGGATGCTGTTGATTTATTTATCATCAATTCTAAAAATTATTTCACTCACACCAGCCATTTTGCTGCCAGTAGTTTGGATGAGTTAAAAGAGCTTCCGACGATCACCAGATTCCACTGATACTGCTTCCAACTCACCAACACATTGACCATCAATCTTCTCTGACCTTACGCAAACTTTGCACTATTGTTCGTAAGAATTCACGTTTATCGTGAAAGGGGCTGTTGTGTGGAGTAAATTGATATGTCTTGAGAAGTAGTTAGGAGCCCGTACAGACCCAGTGCTTACAAGTAAGACATTTCACAGAGCCGCAAGCAACTTCACTCACCATTTTCATGACGTGATAAAAATGCAGTCAGTGCTCATCCATACTTTTCGTCGGGTTGATAGCTGAACTAAAACTGAACTCAGTTTGATATTTGGTTGGGACATCAATCCGTTTAAAATAATAAATACGTTGTCTGTTGAAACATAGGCTAAAATTAGCGCAAACCAGGACTTGATCAAAGTCCAGCTAAGTGCTCCAAAAGGAGCTGCAACTCTGTACAGAACCACGCCAACGGTGGCTGATCGCGATGTGATCAATCTGAATCAAGGCTTAGGATGCAGAAGTATTGTGCCAGGTGGCACATTTGCACTGACTGCACCGAAAGTCGGTATTAACCAGAAACAGATTGTTGTCTGCTGGAAAATTCAATCTTCGGCTAGTACTGTAATATTTGTCGAATGGGCTTTCTTGATGTTAATACTCATCCTTGATTAGATTGGGATTACAATTTATCGAGGCGTAGGTGGAGATGGCGAAAAGACATCGCTACTCACACCGATTTCTTCTCACTTTGACGGAGCTTTCTAATTTGAGAGCACATAATCAACTGCTACTGGGGATCTAGTCAATTAGTGCTGTCTGAGCGACACCAGCGCCATCAAAAATAGATAATGTCACAGAGTCCCTGAATAAAGGTACGCGAAACAAGCATTTCTAGTTGTCGGATGGAGAGCGAGTATGTAGCATTTCATTAGGGTCTTAGATGTTGATCTCAGATAGACAGCAGACGTTGATGCTAAACCTTTATAAAGGCAGCCAAAGCACCAGTTGTTCGATCTGCATTAGTGTATGAACGTTGAAGTAGGCCAGTTTGAATAGTATACTTGGTTTCAGGAAGACTGGTTTAGAATTCGTATTCGGTGGTAGCATTCAACTTTTGACCGGTCAGTGACTTTAGATAATTTAAATAGGACGGAACTTCCATTATAGGCGAGTTGCTGTATAAGCTGAATAATAAAAAATACACAAAATGGGAATTAAGGGGAATAGATAAGTGACTCACCGTAAAACAAAAATGAATGTTACCAAAAACTTGTGAATATAGTTTCCAGGGACGCGAATTGAAGCGAGAGTATTTTTTCAGTTGTCAGTCAGTCAGTCAGCTGCAACGTAGGACCAGGCACGTATATGCATCGGTCCAAGTTGCCATACGCATTAGCACAACAAGATGAACACCGGATTCATAGAAGTAGTTAATTCAGTGGTGGTAATATATAGAAGTAAGAGTGTGTATAAGGACATAGTACATGGAGAAAGAATTAGTTCCTAGAAAGAAAGATTTGAAGTGATTTTAATCTCTTAGTTTAAAGGAAGACAGAGACTGTATACACCTACTCCATTGTGATCGATTCTGAGCCACGTCACCAAGAATCTCCAACCATTGGTTACGACAGTCACGCGGACCCCAACCAGACAGTCTGAATCTACCAACATGGCTCAGACCAGAAGTTAGCGACTTCAAGGACTGATGCCACGTTTTGGTTTGGCCGCCCCCAGCTTTCTTCCAATTATCCCTAACACCAGTGAGCATTGCGCGTCGTGGTAATCTGTGTTCAGGCATACTCAACACGTGGCCCAACCATCTCAGTCGATGAAGATCCATAACCTCATCAACTGATTTATCATCATTCCCTAGTACCATACGTCTAACCTGACTATTACTTACCTGGTGATCCCAGCAGATACCCGCGATATTTCTAAGGCATCTGTGGTCAAATACTAGTAACTTACGAATATCTTCTACTCTTAAAGGCCAAGTTTCGCAGCCGTATAGTAGAACGGAACGAACTGCCGCGCAGTATACTCGTCCCATAATTGATAGACGGATATCTCGCCTTCGCCATAGATGATGTAAGTTGGCAAAGGCCAAACGAGCTTTTCGAATCCGTGCTGAGATTTCGTCAGACACCAACCCATTAGGGCTGATCAGACTTCCAAGATAAGTGAAGTTGTCGACGCGTTCGACTACTTCACCCCCTATCCTTAGTTCAGGTGTTGACGCAGACCAGTCCTGAAGCAACAACTTGCATTTGGAGGGAGAGAAGCGCATCCCAAACATTCTGGCATTGTTGCTCAGTGCTATCAAAAGACTGCATTTTATCAGCGTCTTCACCAAACAGGACTATGTCATCGGCGTATTCTAAGTCAATAAGTAGACCTCCTAGTAGGAGATCAATGCCGGAGAATTCAGTCGATGAGAGCGTTATTTCCATCAGTAGATCTATGATGAAGTTAAACAAAAATGGAGAAAGTGGACAGCCTTAGCGGACGCCACTTAAGGTTGCAAAAGCAGATGACAGTTCGCCATAAGCTCTCACTCGACTAGTAGTGTTCGAGTAAAGAGCTTTCACAAGGTTTATGTACTTCTGAGGTATGTCTTTCAATGACAGACACTGCCACAGAACCTCTCGGTCAACAGAGTCAAACGCTGCTTTTAAATCAAGGAAGACTACCATTGTCGGACGCCGATAAGTATGCCTGTGTTCTAGAACCTGACGAATTGTGAATATGTGGTCGACGCATCCACAGCCAGGTCTGATGCCAGCCAGATCTTCACGTGTTTGCGGTTCACGAGTCTTAATTAGGCGTCCGATAATTATCGAAGCTAGTATTTTAGATATTATATTAGTCAAACTAATCCGTCTGTGGTTGTCACAGGATGATTTTGACCCTTTCTTAAATATTGGGACGATAAGTGATTGTGACCAGTTAGATGGGACAACGTCTAACTCCCAGATTTTAGCTAAAATATTAGTCAACCTAATCGCTAAAACTAGCCCACCATCCTTAAAGACCTCTGGGGCCAACCCATCTGGACCAGCTGACCTTCGTCGTTTCAGATTAACTATAGCCCTTTGAACTTCAGCTAGAGATGGGGGACATACCTCAATGTTTCATTCACACTGTTTGGGAATGGTGGGTAGTTGTAGAGTAGCTGAAGGCCAACTGAACTGCTCCTTAAAGTAATCCGCCCATCGTTCTAAGCGTCTGGACTGGGAGCAGATGAGAGTGTCAATTTTTTCCGAAATAGTCTGACTTACACTTGACTTATTAATTCCAGTTTCTTTTATTAGTCTGTAGAGTTGTCTTGTGTTCCCTATAGCCTCCGCCTTTCCATCTCTTTTGCTTTCGTTGTCCATCACTGCTCACGATCGTTCCTTAGGCTTTTGCTTAACCTAAATCTGATTTCTTTACGCTCTTCATCGTGTTCAGAACCTGATGGGATGTGTTTGCGCGAATTCATCAGTGCAATAGACCTCGAAGAAATCCATTGGTTCTTTGTAACCCTGTGGTTTAAATCACTAATAAATGTCACTGCTGTTTCCACAGCTGCTTGTATAACTTTCCAAGTAACATCGGGGTCAGCCTCGTTTTCAGAACCACCTCAGTGTGACCTCAGTTGTTCCTGGAACCTACTTTTGGTGTTCTCATTACTCAATTCGGTTCTAATGAGTCTTTTTTGTGTGGCTTTTTTGCGTCCAGTTAGGCGCAAGCAGATGCGTGCTCGTACTAGGGCATGGTCGGAGTCCAAGCAGGTACTCCAGAATGAGCGACAGTCTTCTATTGACCCTCTCCAACGATGACTGATGGTAATATGGTCTATTTGAGCCCATCGTTGGTCTGGTGCAGAGGGTCGCCGTGTTAGACGATGTCTCTCCTTATGCTTAAAATTTGTGTTTGTTAAAAATAAACGATTGTCTGAGCACAGTTGCAGCGGACGATCACCATTATCTGTTCGCTGTGCCGGAATACTAAAATACCCACCTAAATGTCTTTCTGTTTCGTTTAAGCTACCTACCTGGGCATTGAAGTCGCCTCCTACGAGTACTATGTCTGAACGTTTAGCTTTCTGAAGAAGTTCAGACAGGTTTCTGTAAAATTCATCTTTTACTTCGTCCGAACCGCAGTCAGTGGGAGCGTAGGCAGAAACGACGAAAAGGCAACGACGTGTGTCCCTATCCTTCCGAGTTCTTACGGAGCCGTTTAGCCGAGCAGCGCATAAACGACTATTAACAGGGATCCACTCTAATAGCGCTTGTTGCGCCCTCATGCTTAGTGCTATGCCTACACCTGCCAGTTCACGAGAACTAGCCATCGGGTCGCCAGATGCACGAAGGGTGTATCTCGTGGGCACTCCGTTTTGCCGAGGTGAGGTCAAGTGAATGACCATGCTAAGATACTGTATGCGTGTTTCGGAGACACAGCATACATCAATCGTACGAGATTCTAGGGTTTTAGCCAAGGAAGCCTGCTGACCGATTTGACATAATGTGCGTACGTTGAAGGCTCCAATGTGTAGATTGGAGCGAGGTTTCAGTAGACCTGGGACAGTGTTTCGCGCACTAGAATCGTTGGCAGTGGTGACACTTGAGGAGGAAACCGAAAGAGGGAGTTTAGATTCGAAAGTCGATGTAAGAGGAATAATAGGAATTGAAGAGGGAGGTTGATTATGAATACAGTGGTCTTGAGTGCTGTTAGAGGTATGAGGGTGGTTATCACTTCCCGGTTGCCCACACCGTGGAAGGGTTCTGCTGGAGGTACCTGAAAAGGAAATTGGATTAGAGGTGGTCATAGTGACCTGAGAGCGTGACCGCAGTGCCCAAGGGACAGCTGCTTGAGGTCGGTCACACACGACCTTTTTATGAGTAATTTGCATGTTAGCTCCGTACTTAATGACACCTTACCGCCGGAGACGGATATCGGTGGGGTAAGGCGAGGTGTGCATTTTTAGGGTCGACCTTTTCTAACCCCACCCCTCCTTGTGGGAATGCAGCATCGCTGTTATGCTGGTTGTCTGAAGGAAACACCTTACTGCTGTCACACCTCTGTACAGTCAGCAGTACGACTTCGCCTTCGGATCTTGGTTTTGTTGCTTTTAGTCTTACCGCTCTTCAACCGACCTGTCTGGTATGGTAGGACCTTTAGGAACGGTTGTTCCGGTCAGGCAACTGACCGTTGTCAGTTGTAATTATCTTCAAGTTTATATATGGGCAAGGATACTGTCTGGATGTCAAGACCATAGTAGGTGGTTTTTCTATGTAGCCACTCTGAGCTTTTTGCCTAGGAGTTCGATCCACAAGCCAGAGGAGACACATTTGTGTCCGGTCCTATTTTGGGCATAACTGACTGGCTTTCCCCTATATTACGATATCTTGTTCGCTATTAAACCAAATGGTTCTAATTTCAGGAAATATAATTGCTTAGTTTTCTAATCTTTTGTTATGAAGGGAATTGATGAAAATGCAGCTAATAATAACAAGGCTTCTTTATAGCTCATCATTTATTTCCAATTAATTTGTGTATTTGTATTTGTGGATGGTTTTTATCATGAAACGGTGTCAGAAAACGTTGAAAAGATTTTTGTTCCGCATTCGGAATTCACCATCAGTACACACCTATAACCTCACATGAGACCAAATCTAGGTTTTTTTAGGTTCTTGGGAGGAACATAGTATTTCTAAACCCCCACACAAATATTTTCACATAATCACTCTATAGTCAATGTATTGACAATTACTTACAATATGCGTTGGTTATTGTATTCACTAAACACTAAATCGTATTACAAAAAAATCTTTCAAATAACATTACGTTTACCATCTCTATCCCGAGCGTTGTTGCTACCTTGATGTGGTGGTCGGGCTTGCCTATCGTGATGAAGCAAATGAGCTATACTGGCCGGAACGACCGTTTCTCAAGGTCCTACCATACCAGACAGGTTGGTTGAAGAGCGGTAAGACTAAAAGCAACAAAACCAAGATCCGAAGGCGAAGTCGTACTGCTGACTGTACAGAGGTGTGACAGCAGTAAGGTGTTTCCTTCAGACAACCAGCATAACAGCGATGCTGCATTCCCAAAAGGGGGGAGGTGTTAGAAAAGGTCGACCCTAAAAATGCACACCTCGCCTTACCCCACCGATATCCGTCTCCGGCGGTAAGGTGTCATTAAGTACGGAGCTAACATGCAAATTACTCATAAAAAGGTCGTGTGTGACCGACCTCAAGCAGCTGTCCCTTGGGCACTGCGGTCACGCTCTCAGGTCACTATGACCACCTCTAATCCAATTTCCTTTTCAGGTACCTCCAGCAGAACCCTTCCACGGTGTGGGCAACCGGGAAGTGATAACCGCCCTCATACCTCTAACGTTGCAGCTGATCATCTGATACGTTCGTGTGTTGTGATAACAACTAATGACTCTGACTTTAATACCATGGATAAAACTATTCTATCCGCTTCTCTTCCCTGCCCCCATTAACTAAAGTAAAAACATCAGTTTTGATTCCTATAAATTGTAATTTGAGTTTGCATACTCCCTCCCTTTGAAGAAAGAAATGTTTCTAATAACATTATGTTTATCATCGTTGAATTATTGTCAGTTCTAATAAATAAGAACTTTTGTCTAAATTTGATTGAATAGTTTCACAGTATTTGGGCATCCACTCTTTATGTTCTTTCAAATTCTAATCTTTTGAATCGTTCATGTCTCTTTCTTTTTTTCTTTTTCCAAGTTTATTTCACTGGATTATACTCTTTGAATAGCATCTTCAAATCCTAATCTTCCTGATTACTGCTTATAATTTTACTACCTCTACCACTACGGGATTTGAATCAACAACTGTATTGCTATGCTAATGTGGTATGGTAACTCGAACTGATATACGTACTTACGAAGTTCCACCTTGTTACTGACTGACTGATTTGGGCACCGAGTTAATGTGAGATATTAAAGAGGAAGACATGTATTTGTACCAGATTACCAGGCGAAACATCGGATTTACTTCAAATTCATTTGCTATGATTTTAAAAATACAACATTCTTTCTCTTTATTGTCAATTCTGTTGGAAAAATTGTAATATCAACGTTTTTATATTTATTTACTTACTTACGCGTGTTACTCCTAATGGAGCATAGGCCGCCGACCAGCATTCTCCATCCCACTCTGTCCTCCACCTTCTTTTCTAGTTCCATCCAATTCTTGTTCATTTTTCTGATGTCTGTCTATCTCCATTTCCCGGAGTAATGTGTTCTTCAATCTTCATCTTCTCCTTTGGCCTTGAGGATTCCATGTGAGGACTTGTCTTTTGACGCAGTGCGGTGCTTTCCTCAATATGTGTCCTATCCACTTCCAGCGCTTCTTCCTGATTTCTTCCTCCACTGGGATCTGATTTGTTCTCTCCCACAGTAGGTTGTTGCTTATAGTGTCCGGCCAGCGGATCTGAAGTATTTTGCGTAGACAACTGTTAATAAACACCTGTATCTTTTGGACGATGGATTTCGTAGTTTTCCAGGTTTCCGCCCCATACAGTAGAACTGTTTTGACATTTGTATTGAAAATTCTGACTTTGGTGTTGGTTGCTAATTGTTTTGAGTTCCAGATATTCTTCAGTTGTAAATATGCTGCTCTTGCTTTGCCAATCCGTGCCTTCACATCTGCATCAGATCCACCGTGTTCATCGATGATACTGCCCAAATATGCAAAGGTTTTTACATCTTCCAAAGCTTCTCCGTCAATTGTGATTGGATTGGTGCATGCTGTGTTGTATCGAAGAATCTTGCTTTTCCCTTTGTGTATATTGAGACCTATTGCTGCTGAGACTGCTGCTACACTGGTTGTCTTCTCCTGCATTTGTTGTTGCGTATGCGATAGAAGAGCCAGATCATCTGCGAAGTCTAGATCATCCAATTGCATCCTAGCTATCCACTGTATCCCGTGCTTCCCTTCAGATGTTGATGTCTTCATGATCCAGTCGATCACCAGGAGAAAGAGAAAGGGTGAGAGTAAGCAACCTTGCCTGACACCGGTCTTTACTTCGAACGACTTTGTCAATTGTCCTCCATGCACGATTTTGCAGTTTAATCCATCCTATGAATTCTGTATGATATTGACTAACTTCTGAGACATGTCGTAGTGTCGAAGAAGGTTCCATAGTGTTGTTTATATTTATTTTATTGAATGATTACTTAAAAAAATATTTCTTTTTCTAGGTACTTGAAAATCAATTTGATGTTCAAAAAGCCAATGATGATCATGGGATTATTAGTGATAAACTTCACATAAATTCGGAATCATTTACAAAATCCTGGTCTTCTAGAAGTCCAAAAGATTGTAGAATTGAAGAAAAACATTCAACTGGAGAAACTTGTTGTATATCAGATTCAAAGGATTTAGTAGTATGTATAATGTAAAATTATAATTGTTTTTTTATTATGTTAAGCTTATGAAGTTCTAAGCCCGATCCTTAGTAGTTCATGGTCTCTCACAGTGCTTATGAATCCATAGCTCTATATCATATCCTTTCTAATCATATTGTAGAACTAAGTTATAAGATGATGATATACAGTTTTAGGCTGATTCATACTACTGATAAGTCGTATTAGTAGTACGATGTATTAGCAGTAAGAAATGTATACGAAAACACAAATCACACTATTACTCACTGCCTTCTCGTGGCGGGGGTATTGTTTACAAAAATGAGAGAACGAAAAGCAAATGTCCGGCGCTATAACCGGATCCCAAATCAATGGTGCACATGGGCTCCAGTATCCTACGGGAACAAATGGCGTATAAACCAATTGTTGGTCACCGGCTACCATGGGACTGCATCTCCTTACGATGCTCCACTGCCTTGTGAGTTAGACTTTTAGGTTAAAGGCTCCGGGTGTGGCCCCCTAAGAAAACCACTTGCTTCGGTCTGGGCACAGCCCATACACAAATAAAAAGAAAATTTGTGTGGCGCATTTATATTTGGCGCCTTCTTGTACTAATATTTATGTGTTCAAATAAATAATAATAAATAACTATTACTCATTCATTCACACAACAAATACTATCTACTCGCCCTGGTACGGCTGAGAGTGGGGATAGTCCGCCCTCCCTCTCGAAGTACTCTCACACGGCCACGCGTATATAGCCTCTGTCAGGGAAGTCCTACTCACTGCCTTCTCGTGGCGGGGGTGTTGTTTACGCAAGTGAGAGGACGAAAAGCGAATGTTCGGCGTTTTAACCGGATCCCAAATCAATGGTGCACATGGGCTGGCTCCAGTAGCTTGAGGGAACAAATGTTATATGAACCAATCATTGGTCACTGGCTACCATGGGACTGCATCTCCTCACGATGCTCTATTGCCTTGTGGATCAGATGTTCAGGTCGAAGGCTCCGGGTGTGGTCCCCTAAGAAAACCACCTGCTTCGGTCTGAGCATCCGGACAGTATCACAGCCCTCATACATATCAAATGAGATTTGTGTGGCGCATATGTATTTGGTACCTCCTTGTACCAATATCTATGTGTTTAAATGAATAAATAAATAAATGTATAATAAAGAAGCTAGTTACATCTAGTTACTTATATTTATTATTCTTAACAAAACTTTGGTACAAATGGACCATTCATAATACAATCCATTTAACTGGATATTTCAAGGTTGGGACATTAAGACAGTTATTATCACTGTATTCAAATACATTAACAGACTTCATGATTACTTTTAGAAAGTGTTACTATTATGTGTAAAAATTCATTAGGAGGCACAGATGATAGGCTACTTCAAATTGTCGATTATCTTAAACTCATTTGGAAGAAGTAGATTGTTCAAAAATAGATCAGAACCGTTCCTACTGACTCGTTGTGCACTAGCTGACTTTAGATATTAATCCTTTAAATATGTTAATGCCAGTCAGTCAGCTACAATGTAGGACCAGGCACATATGTGCATCGGTTCAAATTCCCACATCTCATTAACACAACAAGATGAATACTGAATTCATAGAAGTAGACACTTCAATAATAGTAATATATAAATGAAAGATTGCATATAAGGACATAGTACATGGAGAAAGAATTAGTTCCTAGAAAGAAAGATATGAAGCGTTTTTAATCTCTTGGTTTAAAGGAAGACAGAGACTGTATACACCTACTCCATTGTGATCGATTCTGAGCCACGTCATGTAAGAGTCTCCAACCATTGGTTACGATAGTCACGCGGACCCCAACCAGGCAGTCTGAATCTATCAACATGGCTCAGACCAGAAGTTAGTGACTTCAAGGACTGATGCCACGTTTTGGTTTGGCCGACTCTAACTTTCTTCCAATCATCCCTAACACCAGTGAGCATTGCGCGTCGTGGTAATCGGTGTTCAGGCATACGCAGCACGTGGCCCAACCATCTCAGTCGATGAAGATTCATAACCTCATCAACTGATTTACCATCATTCCCTAATACCCTGAGTCTAACCTCACTATTACTTACCCGGTGATCCCAGCAGATGTGAGCAATATTTCTAAGGCACCTGTGGTCAAATACCAGTAACTTACAAGTATCTTCTACTCTTAAAGACCATGTTTCGCAGCCGTATAGTAGAACGGAACGAACTGCCGCGCAGTATACTCTTCCCTTAATTGATAGACGGATATCCCGCCTTCTCCATAGATGATGTAAGTTGTCAAAAGCCAAACGAGCTTTTCGAATCCGTGCTGAGATGTCGTCAGACACCAACCCATTAGGGCTGATCAAACTTCCAAGATAAGTGAAGTTGTCGTTGCGTTCGACTACTTCACCCCCTATCCTTAGTTCAGGTGTTGACGCAGACCAGTCCTGAAGCAACAACTTGCATTTGGAGAGAGAGAAGCGCATCCCAAACATTCTGGCATTGTTGCTCAGTGCTACCAAAAGACTCTGCATTTTATCAGCGTCTTCACCAAACAGGACTATGTCGTCTGCGTATTCTAAGTCAATAAGTAGACCTCCTGGTAGGAGATCAATGCCGGAGAATTCAGTCGATGAGAGCGTTATTTCCATCAGTAGATCTATGATGAAGTTGAACAAAAATGGAGAAAGTGGACAGCCTTGGCGGACGCCACTTGAGGTTGCAAAAGCAGATGACAGTTCGCCATAAGCTCTGACTCGACTAGTAGTGTTCGAGTAAAGAGCCTTCACAAGGTTTATGTACTTGTGAGGTATGCCTTTCAATGACAGACACTACCACAGAACCTCTCGGTCAACAGAGTCAAACGCTGCTTTTAAGTCAAGGAAGACTATCATTCTCGGACGCCGATAAGTATGCCTGTGTTGTAGAACCTGACGAATGGTGGATATGTGGTCGACGCATCCACAGCCAGGTCTGAAGCCAGCCTGATTTTCACGTGTTTGCAGTTCACGAGTCTTAATTAGGCGTCCGATAATTATCGAAGCTAGTATTTTAGATATTATATTAGTCAAACTAATCCGTCTGTGGTTGTCACAGGATGATTTTGACCCTTTCTTAAATATTGGGACGATAAGTGTTTGTGACCAGTTAGATGGGACAACGTCTAACTCCCAGATTTTAGCTAAAATATTAGTCAACCTAATCGCTGAAACTATCCCACCATCCTTAATGACCTCTGAGGCCAATCCGTCTAGACCAGCTGCCCTTCCTCGTTTCAGATTAACTATAGCCTTTTGAACTTCAGCTAGAGATGGGGGACATACCTCAATGTTTCATTCACACTGTTTGGGAATGGTGGGTAGTTGTAGAGTAGCTGAAGGCCAACTGAACTGCTCCTTAAAATGTTCCGCCCATCGTTCTAAGCGTCTGGACTGGGAGCAGATGAGAGTGTCAATTTTTTCCGAAATAGTCTGACTTACACTTGACTTATTAATTCTAGTTTCTTTTATTAGTCTTTATAAGTTTCTTGTGTTCCCTATAGCTTCCGCCTTTTCCATCTCTTTTGCTTTCGTTGTCCATCACTGCTCACGATCGTTCCTTAGACTTTTGCTTAACCTAGATCTGATTTCTTTACGCTCTTCATCGTGTTCAGAACCTGATGATGAAGATTCATAACCTCGTCAACTGATTTACCATCATTCCCTAATACCCTGCGTCTAACCTGACTATTACTTACCTGGTGATCCCAGCAGATGCTCGCAATATTTCCAAGGCATCTGTGGTCAAATATTACTTTATTTTATTTGAACACATAGGTATTGGTACAAAGAGACACCAAATACATATGCGCCACACAAATCTCATTTAATTTGTGCGAGGGCTGTGATATTGCTCGGATGCCCAAACTGAAACAGATTGTTTTATTAGGGGACCACACCCCGAGCCTTCGACCTAAAGGTCATCATGAGGAAATGCAGTTCCATGGTAGCCGGTGACTAAGGATTGGTTCATACGCCATTTGTTCCCTCAGGATACTGGAGCCCATATGCACCATTGGCTTGGAATTCGGGGTTTTCCAACTCTCCTAGGTGGAATCTCTGTGTCCACCAACCCGGTTAGAGCGCCGGACATTCGCTTTTCATCCTCTCATTTTCGTAAACAACACCCCCGCCACGAGAAGGCAATGAGTAGGACTTTCTTGGCAGAGGCTATATGCGCGTAACCATGTGAGAGCATTTCGAGAGGGCAAACGGACTCTCCCCACTCTCGGCCGTACCAGGGCATTTGGGGGCTAAAGTATTTGTTGGGGGTAGGATTCGAACTCACGCCCACGTCGTGGAGCAGAATACTAGTAGCTTACAGATATCTTCTATTTTTAATGGCCACGTTTTGCAGCCGTAAAGCAGAACAGGACGAACTTCCGTATAGTATACTCGCGTACTATAATCGATAGACGGATATCTCGCCTTCTCCATAAGTGACGTAAGTTGGCAAAAGCCAAACGAGCTTTTCGAATCCGTGCTGAGATGTCGTCAGACACAAACCCATTAGAGCTGATCAGACTTCCAAGATAAGTGAAGTTGTCGTTTCGTTTGACTACGTCACTCCCTATCCTTAGTTCAGGTGTTAACTCAGGTCAGTCTTGAAGCAATACGCGATTCCTTGTCAAGTCTAAAAGTACTCTACATTCTTCTATCACTTCTTGATTTTCCATCCGTTTTGATCTGCTACTGATCATTGCTCATAATCATTATTACCTACAACTTACCTATCGTTAACTAACAAGCATATTCATACATTTATGTTGTTATTGAATTACATTGTTTACCTATACTTTAGTCCTTATTATTAGTGCAGATCGAATGCTATCGATCATGTTGCAATGTGGCCACCATTTTAGGTGACTCGACATTGCGGGCACTATTGTAAGATTAGATAGTGGTTGGAGGTAGTCGACAGGAAACTTTGGACCCGGGTTTCGTGCTACTTGGCACTCGTCAGCAAGGTGTACCTGTAATCTTTGAGGGAACTTGTGCTCCCTGGCGGATTCGATCCTGTGTCACCCAGCTTCACAGTCAGAGACGTTACCACTGAGCTATCCGGGCTGATGAGTGCCAAGTAGCACGAAACCCGGGTCCAGGGTTTCCTTTCGACTACCTCCAACCACCATCTAACCTATACTTTATTTATTTCAATTGAAATGTATCCCTAATTGCTTTATTCGACTTATTTCAATTCTCATCTGTTTCTTTCTTTCTTTTTTTTGTTTTTAATTTCATTATTACACCATAGGATTTAGTTCATCAAGAAATTACAGAACTTGAAATGCGAGCACGAGCTATTCGTGCAATGCTTAAAACTAAATCGAATCAACTCAAATTATAGATTTGTACATTTTTGTTCCTAAAGCTGTTATCTTATCACTTGTTTAGTTCATCGTTATCACTATTATTATTATTATTATTATTAGTGTAAAACATTGTTTTCACCAAATCGTATATCTGGATTTCTTCACCCCATTTTATTTCTTTTCCCGTTCGTGTGCGTGTGTGTGTGTGTACTAGGCTAGCAACTAGAATGCCTGTTCCTCCTCATGAAGAGGAGCATAGGTCGCGCATGTGTGTGTGCGTGTGTTTGTATATATACATCCTGTTTATTTTCATACTATTTGTATTATGAAACAGATCAACTATTTATGTATATTAGTTTGGATTGTTAAATCATTTTCATTTTGTTTATATTATCTACTATTCGGTTTGTTACTCAATTATGTACATTAATATAATTTCAATAAATGTATACTTCACTGTTTTAGTCAGTCAGTAACAACGTGGAACTTCGTACGTACGTACATCAGTTCGAGTTGTCATACCATATTAGCACAGAGATTCAGTGATTGATTCAAATCCCGTAATAGTAGAGGTAGTAAAAGTATAAGTAGTAATAGGGAACATTAGGGTTTGATGATGTTATTTCAGGAGTATAATCCAGTGGAATAGATTTGGAAAGAGGAAAATAATGAACATAAAGAATTCACTGTTTATTTGATAAAATAATTCTTTGCTTATTTATATATAACACAATTGAAGTTAGACATTAACATCATTAGATATAAGCACCTATGGTGTAGAAGTTAAACGTTCGTTCATGAGACCGAAGGTCATAGGTTCAAGTTCAGCATATGGAATCGTAGATACACACTTCTGTGAAGTTTTATACTCAAATGAACCAATCATTCAATGATGCTCTAGCTTAGATTAGCTCATATTATTCAACTGTTGAAAATTATTACAATCTTCACAAATCTCTATTCTGATAATAGTAGATATCTAATAGTTGCCTTCATTCTGTAGTGTTTCAGTTTTGTCTACATTACTAATAATAAATTCACTAAAATTATTACTGCATTTTTACACATGATCAAAGCCCTGGGTTTGAATCCCGCGAGCGAGGTCGTGGATACGCACTGCTGAGGAGTCCCACAACAGAATGAAACGGCCATCCAGGTTTTCCATGACGGTTTAGCTTCAATTGACTCATGATCTCAACAATTGAAATTACTAAGATCTCCAGAAAAACCTCAATCTGATAATAATCGACATATGCTCACTAGTGACTGGCTTCAGAATGTATATCTTGGAGTTCTAGTGAGAAGCCATTACCAGTGGAGTTCAACCGGGTCTGTTGTGAGATAGTAACTCACTGATGACAATGGTGGATATGTCGCTCAATTTCATGGATTAGTTGAAGTCAGACATTAATACCGTTAGATGTCGGCTGGCTCAGTGTTTAAGGGCTTGCGCGCGAGACCAGTAAGTCCTGGGTTTGAATCCCGCGAGTCGGGATCGTGGATGCGCACTGCTGAAGAGTCGCACAATAAGACAAAACGGCCGTCCAGTGCTTTTAGGTTTTCTATGGTGGTCTAACTTTAATTGACTCATAATCTCAATAATTGAAATGACTAAAATCTCCACAAAACCCCCTTCTGATGATATTACTATCATTAACCTAGCTTAATTATAAATCAATAAATACCTGATTGGAGTGACCAGAATGATAAATACTCATGAAATGAGGTCATAAATGTTAACTGGATAGATGTCTAATTACTCATAAATCTATCATTTCTGTAAACATAAGTGTAATTAACTAAGGTGATGTATGGCTATAACTTACTAGTTAAGTATAAAAACAAAAGGTCAATAAACCAACAATGGGACTAGATTTCTTATTGTTATATTACTGGTTTTCATCTTAATTGGTCTCAATTAAAAAATAATAGTCAGTGAATTATAGGTAGGTTACTTAGTTCTATTCATTTATATTGGTTTTTTTGGATCTTCCTATTGATGTTTAGGACTGCAATTGATCGGTCCTGTGCGGATTGACTTGACCGATCGAGTTTAGTCCTCAACATCAGTAGAAAGATCCGAAAAACCAATATAAATGAATTAAGTTTCACTTCATTGCACAAGCTAGTGGTTATTTGGGCTCAGTGGATAACGCGATGGCGTCTGAAGCGAACGGTACCGAGTTCTTGGTGGCCCGTTGATCTGACTCCAATTTGAGTGAACTAATGAATATGTCATGAGCATAAATCCTCCATTTGGCTCCGTATATTATGCATACTTTATCTTCGTTTGTGTAATGGCGTTAATAAGAATCTAAATACCGGTTGCGTTGAATGAATTTATCCCAGGCACTCGTTTATCCAGACAGATATTCTGAATGAAAAGCAGGAAAGCGAAGCAAAGAGGAAAAGGCTAGTTGACCAACTCAATTAAATAAAGTGTGACCCAAAGTGAACACTGACTCTAAGATGTAGGTACATCCAGCTGATTAGTCCCAAATAAGAATTCCACTGTTACTGAGCTTATCAATAAAAATGTACTACTTATTTACCTATCGAAACATATCGTTTAATTATTTATTTTCTCTTTATTTGTGTGTGGGCTGTGATACTGTCCGGGTGCCCAGACCGAAGCAGGTGATTTTCTTATGGGGCCACAATCCGAGTTTTTTATCTAAAGGTCTGACCCACAAGGCAGTGGAGCATCGTAAGGAGATGCAGTCCCATGGTAGCCGGTGACCAACGATTGGTTCATATGCCGTTTGTTTTCACAGGATACTGGAACCAGCCCATGTGCACCATTGATTTGGAATCCGGTTAAAGCGCCGGACATTCGCTTTTCGTCCTCTCACTTGCGTAAACAACACCCCCGCCACGAGAAGGCAGTGAGTAGGACTTCCCTGACAGAGACTGTATACGCGTGGCTGTGTGAGAGCATTTCGAGATGGAGGATGAGCCCACCACACTGTCGATCATATCAGGGCATTTGGGGTCTGACATCGTACTTCTAGGGAAACATATCAAGTTTGAGATAGTACATCACTCTAATAATCATTTAGGCTTATAAATCGATATAATGACGGTTACTTATGTTCACTCTTTTAGCCTTCTGGATTTTTGTATCTGAAGTGGTAGGGGGATTTTGATGACTTATCGATACTATAGAAAACAATACTTTAACCAAACTAATGGAGATTTTATAGGGTTTGATAAACAATGATGATTGTAAAATATGTCCATTGATTATTGATTCATACGTGCATAATCTTAAGAGCCCATTTTCTATTTTCATTTAAGGATAAATATGGAGAGAACGTTGTATATAAATAAAAATATTTTGGCATCTGAAAATCTATCGTATACCCTTAATTATTAGATAAGTAATAATATTTATCGCCTCCAGATGGCCTGGTACGGCTGAGAGTAGGGAGATTCCGCTATTCCTCTCGAAATGCTGTCACATGGCCACAAGTATAAAGTCGCTGTCAGGGAAATCCTACTCACTGCCCTCTCTAGGTGGGGTGTTTATGAAATTGAGAGGATGAAAAATGAATGTTCGGCGCTTTAACCAGGTTTGTGGACACAAAGGGTTCAATTAAAGGAGTCGTACAACCCTGATTCCAAACCAATGGTGAACATGGATTCCGGTATCCCGTGGAAACAGATGGCATATGTACCAATTGTTGGTCACCGGCTACGATTGGTTTGCAAGTAGTCGAGAAGTTCGTGTATCTAGGTAGCTGCATAAGTGCTGGTGGTGGTGTGAGTGATGAGATCAATGCACGTATAGTGAAAGCCAGAGCGGCTTATGCCAATCTGGGCCATCTTTGGCGCCTTCGTGATGTTAGTCTGGCTGTAAAAGGTCGGATCTACAACGCGACGGTGAGAGCAGTTCTGCTCTATGCTTGTGAAACCTGGCCTCTCCGAGTTGAGGATGTTAGACGACTCTCTATGTTCGATCATCGTTGTCTCCGAAGGATCGCTGGCATCCAGTGACAACACCATGTCAGTAATGCAGAGGTTCGGCATCATGTGTTCGGGCACAGAGACGACAATCCAATTGGTGTCACCATCTTGAAACACCGACTTCGGTGGCTTGGACATGTTCTACGAATGTCGTCCCAGAGAATTCCACGTCGTGCATTATTTGCCGACTCTGGGACTGGTTGGAAAAAGCGGAGAGGTGGTCAGTGTATGACATGGTGTCGTGGTATGAAAGAAAGCTGCAAAGGACTAGCTTCTGTTGGTCCTTCACGACTCCCTGGTTGGGGTCCGAGAGACGGTGTAACGCAGTGGCTAGAGACGTTATCAGATATGGCTAAGAATAGAAGCCAGTGGCGATCGTGCTGTAACCTCTTACTTTCTTCATAAAAAGTGGTTGTATCTTCCTTAATTGAAAGATCTCTTCTGATTGTACCTTTCCGTTTCTCCCACCATTGTTCTCTCTCTCTTTTTTTTTCTTTTTTATAATTCCCCACGTTCATTACTTTTTTTTTCTCTTTTCTCCTTCTCTTCAAATTATCATTGTTTTGTGTGGCGCATATATATTTGTTGCCCCCCCCCTGTACCAATATTTATGTGTTCAAATAAATAAATAAATAATAAGGACGTTGATGCATAGCGATGAGTTTCATTAAACTGATTGTTCAACAATGGTCAGTAGTGTTGCAATTTGATAGGTACACGATCGATCCTTACAGAATCTATCATGTTGATTTCGAAGTTGAGAGTCTATTGTATCCTTCATTAAATTCAACAACACTGGTAAAATCTTTTTCCGGTACTGATGGTAGTGTGATGCCTCGGTAGCTCTCACACTTGATAAGATCTGCTTTCTTTGATTTCTTGTTGGAGTATCATTCTTTACAGTCTGTTGGCACATTTTCTTCCTCACAAATATTCCTGAATAGAGTGTGGAGTATCTTTGCTTTCATGTCTTAATTCAGTGCTGTTATAATGTGCCGTGTCCGAAATCTGACACTGATACACGATGTACTAAGCACTGATCCCCTCATCGACTACTTGAGTGAGTACA